TCAGGCGGTTGGTGATGGTCTTGGCGAGTATTTTGCCTACATGCGAGAGCAGCGAGATGCCCCTGAAGTTGTTGCAGTTCGTCCGGTCACCCTTCTTGTACAACACCTTAATGATGGCATCCTTCCACTCCTGCGGCATCTCTCCCCCATTCCACACTTCGACGAAGATGGCACGGAGGCGCTCCAGGACAATGGGCTCGTCGTCGCCGTCGACCTTGAGCAGTTCGGCGGCAAGGAGGTCGGGGCCAACCGCCTTCCAGTTCCCCAAACCTTTCGTTGCCACCTCAACCTCCTCGAGGTCTGGTACCGCCGCCAGGCGTCGGGTGGCGCGCGTCGCTGGTCGCTGCGTCACCTGTTCGACAACGTCTGGGTTCAGGGTAGGGGACTTGGAGTTCAGGAGGGTATCGAGGAATCTCCGCCACCGCTTGAGGATGGCATTCTTGTTCCGGAGCAGCACGCCGAGTAAAGGCCGTCATTGAAAGCTAACGGAGAGTCGACAAACAGTGGGACGACTCCAGACAGAGTGGATACCGTGCACAAAGAGATGGAGGTCTTTCGTCGTTTGAAGGATTGCCGCATGTCTTCACGTTTCGTGGGGAACACATCACGTAGTGCGGGAGAGTCTATGTTTTCTTTCGTGTTCGTCGTCTTCGACTCCGCCTGGAGCTATTGATTGACCTCGAGGACTATCGAATCTGCTTGGCCTGAGCGCTTGTCTTATCCCATCGTACGTTTAGCTTGTTTCTGTCTCGTATCCCGTGATCGCCCCAACACCTAAGTATCTGGGTGTGCCGGAGTGTTTGCCTGGTTGGAGATATATTCCCGACAGAGCCCCCGCAGGGCATTGTAGAGGCACGTTCTCCGTTACTGTGCGCGTCGTGGTTTCGAGTGGACGATGTAATGCGTTCTGCTTATGTTGTTTCTTAGGGCATGCCCTTGCCCTGCAACCTGCTGTGTGCCATTGTAGAGTGTTTTTCTGGCATAGTTTATATTATCGCGTGGTTGTCCCCTCGGTCAGTTTTTGTTCAATTTTCAGTTTTCTTCGGAAGTAAACATAACCTCAGAGAAAGACTACCCGTTCGAGATATAACCTCAGTCGAAAGGGATGTGTTGAACTTCAGTAGAAAGCGAGACGATACCGTCTCGTCAAATCAAGCATTCAACCATCTTGCAACCACTTGCAACTTGGGTTATTTCCGCGCGTCGGCCTCGGTGAAGTGACGCCGGGTTTGGCCATCCCACGCTCGCTCGTCACTTCCTGCTGTTGGAGGAAGACGAATGTAAAGATTTTACAAGTTCCGAAGTACAAAGCAGCAGCAGCAGTCGATCCGCGAACGTTGGATTAGCCTCTTGTTGGATCCCTCAGTAACGCACACATCGGCATTCTGGCGTACTACCCTTGGCCGTACCCCTTTCGGCATCGCATCGTATTATCCTCACCGCCAACACGGTTAGGGTCGTCGCTGCGTTCGTTGGCAGTGGTTGGAGCATGGGACGGCAGGTAAGGCGTTGGATTCGAAGGATCCGTTTCGGGGGGTCTCCGCAGTTTTACCAACAAGGGGACGAGGAGGGCATCCCTTCCGTCTCCAAGCTCCACGGACCGCTCCGTCGCCCCGCCGTCTACTGTCCACTGGGACTACTGCCTGTAGTCTAGGTACTGATACGTTCGGTTTCGCATATGCAAGTCGGAGATAGCAGCTACAATGCATACCACAAAGGTAATCGCTAACACAACGTGGATGTTGCTGCGGCAAGGGAGACAATACCGTCCGCCAAACCCAAGGCGAACCTGCGGCGTATTTTTTGCAGGGTCAACAACACCTAGTTGCGCCGCATCTAGTCGCTGTTACCGGACCGATGCGTGGGGCGGCTCGCTACAAAGTAGACATCGGCCGCGTCACTTATCTGTTGGCGGTGCTTCTAGTACCTTTGGCGCCAGCGCGCCTGGTGATGGTGTTTCCAGCGGCGACCCGAAACAAGGACGAGAACAGTTCGTTGTAACAGGATCGCTCCTTGACGCCAGGAGAGCAGGGTCGGACTCGCCGTTGCCTGGCCAGTTTCTGTCCATCTCTCACGCGTTCGGGCCCGAGGCGGTGGCTGCGTTCGCGGCTCACGCGGGGGACGACAATCCGATACACCTCGACGAGCATTACGCCAGGCAAACGGGGTGAGCTAAGTGTGTTGAAAACGGCACGTTGACTTCGGATCATGCACACCAGCAGCACAGGGTTTGCTGTGATGCGGCGGGCCGGTCCTGGTGTACAATTACAATGTAAGGCTCATGTTTATGGTTTCCAAATCTTTATCTTCCTTTGTTTGGACAAATGTTGGCTTTTTCGACCTTATGGGCAGTCTGCCTCCCGAACGAATGCGAATCAGCTGTTCGACCTTTGAGAACAGTCACAGCTTTGCCTGAGATGCATACAGACCGCCTATTTGTTTCGCTAGGGTCCACGTTTGATTTTTTTCCAGCAAAGCAAGATGTTGAAGATTCGGCCGACAGGCCACCTCGGAGCAAATCTTGGGCCAAGATCTGTCCAACAGCTGGTGTTGGAAAAATCTTGCGTGAAAATTGCGCACCTTGAAAAAATCAAACCTGGGCCCTGGCGAAACGAATAGGTGGTCTGTATGCATCTCAGGCAAAGCTGTGACTGTTCTCAAAGGTCGAACAGCTGATTCGCATTCGTTCGGGAGGCAGACTGCCCATAAGGCAGAAAAAGCCAACATTTGTCCAAACAAAGGAAGATAAAGATTTGGAAACCATAAACGTGGGCTAATAATAAGAGGCCGAAATCAAACCATTAGGCTGCAGTAGTCAGCGGCCTCTACAGTGCTACATGTACCATCATGTTTAGAGGATGGGGTGGCGTCCCCGTTCGAAGATGCGCGCGAATGGCAGTTTTCAAGGCAGTCCTTCTTAATGCCACCGCGCTCTGCGATCTATCGAATGAGCTGGTCTGGGTAGAGAGCCCCTGATGTCCCGAATCTCGAAACGACGACGATGGGGGTGGCGAGAAGGAGGGAATGCCTGTGTGTGCTCCACAAGACTACCTGTTGGTGACACGAGACATCGCACCACCGGGACTGATTTTTTGAATTCGATTACTCCACAGTCCAGAGAGTGGCGGTGCCGAAGATGGTGTCGTCATGACCGGTCTCGTCGAGAGCTTTCCATTAGCGTATCGTTTGATTTGTACATCCTTCCTCGTGGAGTAAAAGGCCTTTACAAATCGGTCCAATGGGGTGTGGTATGATTTGTTGTTTTATCTGTGGTGGCATACAACAGTTGTACACCACCACAGACAGGTAAGCATAGTCGTTTTGAATATCTGTTTGTGCGGTGCCCCCTGCACTGTGGAGCATGCCTGAACGCCATGCTTGGCATCCGCGCATGCATCGAGTTGCTATCTTGCTTGCGTTTGGGTTGATGTATGCATAGGTGGCCGATATATGGTATATAGTGTGGGCCTTGACTACGGACAGAGGCGGAGTTTGTTTTGTTTCCGCATGATGCAACTCAAACATGTCTACACGTAGGCGTTGGTGTGGGTTCGTGATGAACACGAATTCCCGTATCTTGTCGCTGTGGGAGACCAGAGCAGATCACCGGGGACCACTCTCTACATGCGTGATGGGGGCACCCGGGACAGGCAAAGTCACAACTCCTTTTCGCCATACATACCTGGAGGTCTGAGTACCCCTGAAGTGCTCGTGGTGGCGCTTGGAGCACTGTGAGTGATCCAGGCCGGATTCACGCCATCGAACACGGGCGAGAAACGCCGGCGGCAGGAGGGAGTGGTCAGTGTGCCGGGAGATAGCATTGAACGCACCTGTAGCACCGGCGGTGTCACGCGCGCGGCTCCTTTGCGATTCGCCTAACGGGTGCCGCTCCCATCTCTTTTTGTTTGTGTCGCTTTCGGCATAAGGCCCCGGAACTACGACGGCTGCATTGTGCACGGGCTTATGGTGGCGGGGCTGTTCTCGACTGCGTTCGGCAGGGCTATATCCGGGGCGCTGTACGTCTCGCAGACGCTGAGGTGAAGAGTAAGGGCAGGGGAAGGTACCCGGTACGGAAGCTATAGCGCAAGCTTTGGGTGTGCGGCGTCCAAAGGCGCGTTCTCCCTATGTCTCTTTTTTAAAGCTGAAGCCAGGATGTGTTTTCTTCTGATGGGTGTGTAAACACTTGAGTCTTGCAAGAAGCGTGCCAACGTGGCCCCAGTTCATGGATTATCAAGCCGCAGCGTGAGAAACTAGACGTCAGAATGGGCTATCCACCACCAAACGTGCTTGGACTGACAAAGAGGCCTGGCGAGCGGTCACATTCTCTGGTGTACAAGTGCACGTGATTGCTGGCAGAAGCAGCGCGTACGTGTCTCACAAATTTCGGATGCGTCGTGGGTGCTTAATATAAAGGAGCCTGCCTGAACGACCGTTGCGAAAACGTACATATATGGTGGCGTACAGGCGTATAGGCGCTTTTTTTCGACGGTTAATCTTGTTGATATATGCCCTTCGAGCGGTATGGTTACACGTTTTCACTCAAAAACGTGGGGCATCAACGCAGGCAACACACTGCGGTTAACATAAGTGTCTTCGACGTTTTTTTTTCAGCCTGATCAGACGCCGAAAGCAACAAACATCATAAATAACAGTAAGAAAACGCGGAAGAGATATATCGCCTGCAAGGATGGAACGAGGCTAGACAGATGAGGAATCCCATCAGCGTGACCGTTCGCGGATCCCACCCGTGGGGTTTATCGCCGGACCCCGCTCACCCGTCGGATCGCCCGCACTACTTTGTACATATCAGTAGTAATTGTCCTCTGTAGCGCTCATTGCTTTGCTGGACCACGCTGGGCGTAGTGTTGTGGGCAGGTGTATTATGCCGTGGTAACATCGACAGCGCTAACTGACCAACGAAATTTAAGACGTCAGTGCCAGTGGATACGAATCAACCACGGCTCCCGGAAGGAGGCCAAAAGTCGAAGAATGGGCGTCACCTAGCATGCTCGCGTATACCTCTCTACAAACCCGTGATTTCTACCAGAAGAGCAATCCGAACGAACTTGAAGATCAAGCACAGCAAATGTTGCAAAACACAACGAAAAGCAGTTGCTCCTAGGCGTAGGGGTTAACCTCTGGTGCTCTCCAGAGCCAAGCACTGTCAAGTATCACATGTGCCCACTCGGGCTTGGTGGTGCTGTTTCGGCGGTGCCGGACATGTTGATACTCTTGTCCAGCAATACTATGGGGCGCAGTAGGTTCTCGGCGGCAGATCAATGGACGGCGGCACACCACCTAAATGCCGCCACCGCCCACCATGGCGGTAATTTGACTACAGACGCAACGATAGACAGGGCACGCGAGAGGGAAAGAGTGGGAGAGAGAGAGACAGAGACAAGAAACAGAGAGACAGAGAGAGGGAGACAGAGAGAAAGGTTTGCTATCGTGTCACATTCTTCACAATTGTGCCGAGTACCCTAGGCACAGGCCCCTCCAGAGCCTCCTACGTACCGCACCACCAAATCACCTGTCTGTGCGCCGGGAACGGCTGTACTCCCCCCTCCCGCGCGCCTTCCCTTTCCAGGTTCGAACGACCGGTGCTAGTCGGCGAGAGAGTTGACGCGCGAGTCGAGGTGGAGCGGGCACGAGTCACGTCCTCGGGCCGGGAGGTCTTGGTGCGGTGTTCCACCGTAGCATCTCTTGCCGACGGCACGGTCGCCGTGTCGGGTCAGGCGAAGGTTCTGTTGCCCCGCACGTGCGAGGTCCGTTCGTGGTAAGACGAGGCTGATGATATTGAGAAGGCTCCGGGTTGTTGCCTCACGGGAGGGGCCGGCCCCCCCCCACGGGGTCGAGCCTCCTCGCGGCGCAAGCGGGTACACCTACAGAAGAAAGGACAAGGGGCGCACACTTTCAAGGCACGCCAGGGAGTGAGCACGATAGTGGGGCGGAATAACGCGTCGGTTTTAGCATAGGCAGGTGCAAGGTTTCCACCGCCCATCTCGTTGAGCGTGGCCTCGGCAAGGACCGCCCAAAACCTCGCCCAAAGCATCAGGAGACGAAAATGGTTGGTAGAATATCGCGTTAAGGGTCTAGCGACAACGACTTCATTCGGTGTTTCTGGGTCTGGTGTGTAAGTACATGGTTCATATATCTACGCGTGTGGATCGTGTTACGTGTGGTTCTGTTGTAATAAGCTGGTAGATACCTTCGTGTGATCACTCGCGACACAGCCGGCCGTGCCGTGCGATTCGCCCCCCAAGTTGATGTGTTTTCTGTGCTTCTCTGCCCGACTTCCTGTTGGCTTCTTCAGCCACCTCGTGGACTCTCGTAAGGGGACATGTGTGTCGGTTGTGCACTGCTGGGCACTTTTGAGTGCAGAGAAAAGTATGGAAGGAGTTCGTGTGTAGAGCTGTAAGACGAGGCGATGGCGAGACCCTTCTCGCCAAATTGTTTGAAGGAGCGTTCGGCAATATTCCTCTAGGCTGCAACACACAGACAGCTGAAACTCCGGGAGCGGAGACTACGGCGAGCACATGTAGCAGATTTGCGTTCCTTCGGAAATTGCGCAGTACATGCATCGTGAAACGGTAAAGGCGGTAAATAGTCTAGACTACACGCATGCAATGGATGGATTATCATATGACATGAAGTCTTGTTTGTTTTTCCGCACTTTATTACTTGAAGAAAATCTTGTCATTCACTGGATGTTATTTTCCTTCCTAATGGAGCCGGTCCGGGCTCATAAAATCATTACTCCCCCGTTCGGCGCATGCCTGAAAATTCTACGTCAAGCAGTGTGGAGCATTCGTCGCGTTCGGTTGTTTCCCACGAGAGCAAGAAATAATAGACTAGCTAATTTGATGTCGAGAAACAAAAAATACGGTACAATATGGATACATTCTGCACCCTTCACGCACAGTTTTTTTTGCGAGGATACTCTCTTTTTGTATGTAGGACTTGGTAGGACCCCGGGTCGATGCTCTTCAGCAAGAGGCATGCCCGTGCGTCAAGAACGAGATGAAATGATGAGAAAAACCAAGAGAAGAATCTTCTGTCTCGGCAAGATGGAAAAAAATAAGAACCAAGAGCAGGTAGGTACACACGTTGTTGAAGCAACATTCGTTATCACGGAAGATGTGAATCAGCTGAACTCGTTGCTACTACTGCTGTACATGCAGAGCACACAGACAGGGACAAACAGAGCGAGGGAGGACACCTGCACTGCTGTGCACCGCCATCCGCACGGATTTTATCCCGCGGCGAAAATTTGCCAGTACTGGCACAGGAAAAACACGCTCCAGTAGCTCGGTACAGCAGTACAGCGACCCACTGCACAACAACCTAGCTTGGGGTGTTGGGTTTGGGTTAGGGTTAGGGTTAGGGTTTAGGGGTGTGTTAGGCCTGGTGAGACCTAGCGCCTTGGTGCTGCCTGAGGGCTGGAAACCCGCTGTGGCTTTGGTTTCGTGTCTACCTCCAACCACAACCCAAAAATTGTCAACTGGCGAGTGCAAGAATCTCGCCAGCGCTGGCGTGTTACGGCAGCCGCCATTTTTTTGTCACAGAACTATACCGTTGGCAGCCGCGGATTGGCCTTATATTAGGGTCTACGTAAACTGTATGTCGCCAATGCGGGGTATGCACAAGGAACGTCGGCGCGTAGCCCCTTTAAGGCTTCCTCAACGTCTCAACCAACTTCCCAGTTCTTGCAGTGTGGGGAGCAGGACTACAACTGCAACAGAAAGTAAGGAATAGAACGCGGAAGCGGAACGTACCGCACGTGGCAGCCCACGCTTGGCTCGGAGGCTGCTACGGAGGCTCATCTACACAGCAGTGGTGGGATTCCTTCTCCTTTCGAGGTGAGATGTTCCCCCGAAAGTCAGCGATGTCGGACCAGTGCCCAGATGCTCGCTTGCGCTGGCATACATGTGTGTGTCTTTATCATTAGTGTGTTTGTTTGTGTCAACAGCAGCCGTTTGGAGCCCATTTTTTGGGCTCAGTGGTAGCCGTTGCACGGCACCAGTAGGACCACAATGGCCAACGTACTGGCGTACGTGCTGGCTCATCCGTTTCGCGCCGGGGCGTGTTGCCAAATTTGAACGGTGATGAAACAAATCGCACAGACAGCAGTAGTTTGGGAGTTTGCCGGGTGCGGTTGAACGACCCACCTTCTTACCGCATGGATAGCAGAGCACGACGTACATGCGCCAGGCTAACTAGGGATGTCAAGGGTCCGCTTCCTCTCCGCGTTTGTGTTTGCTTCCGTAAGCTCGGCAGCATCGCTATCTTTTGAAAGTCCCTCTCACCAGCTCTCCAATTGCCGAATTATCGGCTTCTTTATTTGGCTCATCTCCAAAAACGAAACATTTTACTGCTTTTTCTCAGAAGTTTCCCGTAGGCGCGTTGAACGCGTGGTGTTGTCCTGTAGGTTGGCCGCGCCTACCTTTGCCGACGTTGCTCAGGAGAGCGACGGTCTCTGCCACCCGCGACCGTGCTTGTGAGCGGGGCGGGTGCGAGAAAACGAACACAAATATGGAACCAGTCGCATGAGTAGTCTAGTGCACTTCGTGGGTGTCTCACTCTCTGTGATCCGCAACAAGGGTGTGGAATAGGTTAGCTCTCGGCTGCGACATCCAGACGGCAGCGGAGTCACAAAGCGGGGCCTGTCTCTTTCGTGTCCATCCCAGAAACCGTCGGCTGCTGCAACCATCCGCATTACTCATCCACATGACCTTCATTTAGTACTATTTTAGTAGATACCAATTCGGTGCGTCAGGCTGGTCCGGTATTTCTAGTTGCCGACGTCGACTGCCGACTGCTGTTTTTTGGGCAGAGCGCTTCACAACGACGGGTAGAGTCTTCCCGCTTCGCTTGGATTCGGCACATTGTTCATCATGTGTCTAAATAGTCCGTTGCTCAGCAAATTTATGTAAAATCAGTAGGTATACAGTATGCGTATATATATTTTTTGTCTCCCATCATTGGACTCTGTCGTCTGCCCCTCTGGCCCCTATCCTCCACTTTTACCAGCTAGACGACCCAACCGGGGTCACATACGGGGGGGGTTTGGACCCCGGGTTGGACCCCTCCTGCGGTTCCTGCCTGAGATATTTTGTATGTACCTGGCTGATGAAATCGTACGGCTAGCAAGCAAAAACACTCGTTCGTTGTTCAATGACCGGAAGTAAAAGGCGAGAGCAACGTGCCTTTTATCCTTTTATCCTTTTATCCGTCGGAAGTGGCCTGCTGCTTGCTTCAGTCGCCCATTCAAAGTCGTTTCTTGTTTCTTGTTGTTTCGAATGGCACTCGGGATTATTATATTTTTTTCGATTTTCAGGATCACACATTTTTTGGGGGAAACGGCCTTCGGAAAAGTACGAGGACAAAATAGGATAAAGTACGTAATCATCGAGATGCATCGTCGTTCGCGGCCGCCGAGGGAAAAGCTTGGCCTAATCGTTCTGGCGGTAGAAAACCATTGACGCAGACACAGCAGGAGGGCGGAAATATTGTAGGACTCAGCGCGTGCTACATGCAGCAGTCTAACGGTTTGATTCGGCTTCTGCAACGAGAAATAAGTCCTGCGTAAGAGTATGATCCTGCGGAGCCCCTGGTGACACGTCCACGTGTTGTACCGGGAGGTGCGGTGCTGCGTCCGAGTTGATGGGATGGCAACACTCAATACTCTCGACTTCTGTGGATAGCCAACCAGCACTATGTCCTGCGTGGTTGGCTTGCCTGGTCCATGACGAAGTCGAAACACGTTCATATTTTCTCATTTGATGTCGTTTTGCTACCCCCAATCAACCGAATTTGGCCTACGAACGTAAAAAGAAAAATGTTTTCTAGATGAGTGGGAAATGGGGGCAAGGCGCCAACGAGCGCCTCGAACGAACAAGGCTCCGGAGCTCATGAGGGATAACAGGAAGGGCCGCCGAAAAGGGACCAACAGGGACTGAAGCGAGACCAGCCGCAGGTCCCGTGTTGTACACAACCCCAACAGAAGGCTTGAACTTGACCTTCTTGCAAAGGGGGCCTGGGCTGGCCAGGTTCAAGGAAGAAGAAGGCGTGCACGGACCGCGTACGAAAAGGGGAGGAAGCATATGGATACATAAGGGGAAGGTACAAGGATACAGCTGCACAAAGGATGTGCCCCCAGCCGCGAGGTACTGCTGTAGGTATGTATACCTCCGTCTTGACGTTCGAAAACACATTCACATTCTCTGACGACCATGTGAGAGAGCGCTACCTTACTCTACGTCAGAGAATATGAATGTGTTTCGAACGTCAAGACGGAGGTCATACCTATAGCAGTACGTAGAGGAAGGTTGCGCTCTCTCACATGGTCGTCAGAGCATGTGAATGTGTTTCGAACGTCAAGGCGGAGGTATACATTCCCATTATCCACGGGGAAGTGAGGAAAGTGCCGCGCGAGGTCTTGACGGTATGGTATGCATACAATAGTATGCGGTGTCGTCAGCCCAACGTCGTCGCTTTCCAGCGACATAAAGGTGGCGGCCACAAGGGGCGAATGAACGAGGGAATGGGGCTCATAGCGAAACACGTCCTGCGCGCGCGCGGTGTGTAAATACACCAAAGAGCCGTTACGCGTGTTGGAGTTTTCTCTTAAGCATGCCTACCGCCGGCAGCAGTAAGCGGCGGGGTGCTCCGTCTCGAGAGAGAGATGCAAGAGACGCGTGGTGAACGGTTGGTTGTCTAACTCAATCGCCGGTTGTCTGACTCAAGGCAAGCAATGTACCTCCCGCTCACAATCCGCACGTCCTTTCGTGTCTCTTTCTCTCCCCCCCCCACATCCCTCCACCCTGCGGTCAAGATCTGCGAATTAATGACTACATATGGCATGCTTAACTCTTCGTAGCCCCCGTTGGAAAACGAAGACTAATAACGACATGCTTTGAATGTTCGTCGTCGTCCCCATCGAAATTAAAGACTACGACATGCTTTTTTATCTGTTCGCACCCCCCCTACCGCCCCCTTTGCCTCGCAGGACACACCGATGGTGACCTGTGGTGGTCCAGGACGGGGCGCCGCCGCGGCCTCTTGGCGCGCTGTGACCCCGCGCGGCGCAATCGCCGTCCTTGCCGCCGTCTGCTCGTACCTGTCGTCGGTGGCGGAGGCGCACATGCTGGAGTTCGTCCCGAGGAACTACTCGGGCGAAGGAAACAACCTCGAATTCCCTCAGTGGGGCGCCGTGGGGACGACCCAGGTGCGCTACGGGGGGGGGGAGGGGGGGGTACTCAAGCCGGAGTCGATATGGACCATTGACCTTGCATCCCGGGAGAGACCACGCCGGGGCCTCACCGGACCAGTCTTGGGGGAGGGGTTCAGAAGCCCATGTAGGTATTATTTTGTCCGTGCGCACACAATTGTTCCAAGATTCACCCACCTACAGCAGGAGGTACATTTTTGTTGGGGGTAGGGGCGGTGGTTCCGAAGTCCGAGAACGTTGCCGACATCCTTGTCTCCAAGCCTTCCTTTTTACCAGGGTCGTTTTATTTTCTCTCATTTTCTTTCTGATCGCTTGCATGAGCCAGATTTCTTTATTTCTACATGTGTTTTTTTTTTTTTTTCGTTCGTGGTACAACAAGTGTATGTCTCAACGGATTTTGTGCAGCTCTCAGAATTTCGCCCGGTTGGCATTTCTCTTCAGGTAGGTGGCTTGTGGCTCTCGTGTGTGGTGGTATCAATCACCAGAGGCTGCAAGTAGGACTAACGTTCCTCGGGCGCTGGTGTTGTTCCCGCTGCTTATGAGAACCGACGAGCATTGTCCTTTCTGCCTTCCTTCTCCGTGCCCCGCTTGGCCGGCGGTCGCCCAATATCCGACCTCTGATGTGCCTCGCGCGTATTCACGTTATTGCTGTTGCTTCTGTTGCTGCTGCTGCTGCTGCTACTGCTTCCGCCGCCGCCGCTATTGCTGTTGCTTCTGCCGTTGCTTTTGCTGCTGCTGGCGCTCGACGACAGATCCGGTCTGTGGTTGGCGCCGAGTATGACGTCGACGGCTCTACCCCGACGATCGGTTCACCAACCGCTAGGCAAGTTGAATTGAACTCCAAGTCATGTTTCATTCTCAGTTTCCTCGAAAATGCACGCCGCCGAGGGTTTCGCTCCTGTGCCCCGAGGGGGAGGCGCCCCCCGAACTCGCCCCCCCCCNCGCGCGAGGGCGCGGCTCGCCTGTGTGCTTTGCGCCCTGCTATGGGGCACAGCACAACACCATTGCGCGGTCCCACTCTAGAACACATGCCTCATGACACACCTCAGCAGCAGCAGCAGCGGCGGCGGCGGCGGCGGCAGCGAGGTTGAGCCTGGCTCTCTTCCACAATTTTCTTACTTTTGACCAACTCTTCTTTCGTTTCCTTCAGCGTCTTCTCTACGACGGTGAGGCTGCGGCGTTCGATAGCGCGCCGCGTGTTATCTTCTGCTGACGCGGCAACCATACACTGCCCCGTCCTCTTTTGAAACTTCTTTTTGTTCTGATTCAGCTTTCGGGCAGCGCGCCTCCTGCTGCCGAACGGCGCGGACCTCGATTTTTTTTTTGGGAGGGTCTGCTGGTGTGGGCGCTGCAGCCCCACTGGAGGGACAGTTTTCAGACATGTAGATCTCGTGGTTGGCTGATGCGATTCGAATGCGGTTTGTTGTGTGGTATGGCTGTAAAACCCAGGTAGAGGGCTGTAGGGTCGCTTTCACGAGAGAAGCAAAGGTCGCCTTGGGCGTGGAGCAAATAGCGCGAAAAAACATGTTTTTTGGTGTTGTTCGTCCGCCCTTTTACTTTAAGAGAAAACCTATCCTACAGTCACCTCTATTGGACCTGTGTCCAGGTTTGTGTAACGCATGAAGTGCCATGCTGCTGTGTGGACGCAGAGCTACCTGTACAAACAAATTGACTTGATGTATAGTTTATTCAGTATTAACAGCGGGATTCTCAAGAACCAAAAAAAGGACCAAATCCGCGTGCCCCCCTCATATTTTGCCGAATGGACCGGACGTTTTTTTGGCCCCAAATTCCGCCGCTTTAACACCCCTAACTGTGGTCGAGTGGGAGGTAGGCACGCGCTGCGGTTTTCGTTGAGTTCGGAGTGCCCTTGCTTGTTCGGGAAATTGATGGCTGTCTGGCGGGGATCGGGGTTTGAATAGCGAGAGAGAGAGAGAGGGGGGAGGGTCGTGCTTGAACGACCTTTAAAGTATTTGTGTTTTTGTTTAAGCTCGCTGTATACCGCGGTTCGATTCCTTTCGCCTCGAGTTTCTCCGGATGGTCGTGCATGCGCTCGAGGCTGCTCGTTCTGCTTCGTCTAGTACTCTCGCCTGGCCCCGCACGTGGAAGCTGTTTTCTTTGGTACCTCGTCTCTGCTCTGCTTTTGTGTCCTTTTTCGGTACGCAGCGCTTGGCGGTCGTTGGCCTGTGACCCAGGTAAAGGGTGCGGCTTAGTGCCGGTCGGGTGTAGTAGCGCTTGTCCCGGGTAGGTGGAGGTTGGAACGACGTTCGCTTGTTTGTCAGGGCGCCAACGGCATCCATGACGACGACTACCACAACCATCCCGGCGGCGAGTAGGTGGCGCACCACCGCCTAATAACACCTGAAGCGAAAAGCACGCAAGCTTGAAGATGATGCCGAATTATTTTACGTTTCCGTGGTTGTGTCATGTTTTGGTTTTCGTTTTCGGCATGGCGTTTCTTGTCCCTTCCCCTGAATGTTTTTGATGAGCTACGCACGCGTGTCTTTTACGTAGTGCATATGTGGACGTGGACAAGGTTATCCCTTGTTTTCGCACTTTACGAGCGATTCGCCGTCCTTTTCCCCTCCGTTTTAAGCACCTCTGCTGTCTTGGGGGACAAAATCGACAACATTAACATCAACAATTACCCAACAACTACAACGACAACGGAAAAACAGGGAGGTGATGACCGACATCTTCTTGACGTCGACGGCCGCGCTGTCGGCGAAGAGCTCCCTCTTCATCGCGTGGGGCCAGCTCCTCACCTACGACCTGGCCCTCACGGTGGCCAACGAGACCGAGTCCCTCGACGTGCCTTGCAACGATGCCGACCAGAACGGGGGGATCGACGTGTGGTGTCCCCTGGGTGCCGCCTCGGAGGATATTCCCTTTTCCAGGTCAGCTGTCTTGTCGCGTGTCTAGTTTAGCGCGTAGCGGGGGCCGGCGGGAGCTCTTTTTTCCCTTCTTCCGCCAACGGAGTACTGAAGAGCTAACGCCTTGCCTGCACGTCAGTAGAAGTATGTTTGTCAGAGAGGCGAGCATGCGGTGTCCACATGTACATACGTAAGTTGTTTTTTGTTTGACTTGGTGCTGTGCCCAGCAGGAGGTTTCCTGTGGTATTTTTTGCTTCCTAGGTGTAGATGATGAAGCACCATGCTGACTTGTACAGTAGTTTGTGCATCTGCTTCGTTCGATGGACTGGGGTCCCTATTTTTTGTTTTTTGTCTTTCTTTCCAATTTTGTATCATATGTCTACGCGTGATACATTGCCCACTCACAGATCGGACGCCGCGGAGGGGACGGACGGCGTGCGCAGCCCTATCAACTACGCATCCTCGTACATCGACCTGGACTTCGTGTACGGGAGGAGCGCGGAGGCGGCGGAGCTCCTGAGGACAATGGAAGGTGGTTTCATGAACGTTACGGACAGTGGAGTGCCCTTCCAGAACGAGGACGGAACGTGGCTGGTGAGTGTGGGAGAAAGGCAGGCAGCGAGGCAAAGAGAAACACTTGTGCGCTTATGTGGTCCGTCGGTCCTGAGTTTTTTGTTAATGCGACTGACGAGGGCATGTATAGCGTTTTTGGTTTTCTGCGTTGAGTGACGCGATCTGAATAGAACGTTGATCGGGGCGGGGGGGGGGGGGTACTCATAGCCGTGCATGCCGTAGTCGTTCGACCATTGACCTCGCATCCCTACAAAGCCGGGACGGAGCACGCCGGGTTCTCACCGGACCAGGCTCTCACATCACCAAGCGCGAA